CTTTCTCTCCTTTTTTTTTTTTCCCCCCTCCCCATCAGTGCTAAGGAGGTCCTTGGAGGTGATGCTCTCCTTCCTCCCTCCAGCCTGCCTTCTTCCCTACTAGTGCAGGCATATCATTCCTTGGGAGAGCGCGCCTGTCACTCTGGAAGCGTTTTCGGTCAGTAATTGTATCTCTAAACTTGTCTGCAGGAAGCCTTTTTTTCTTGGGGGGCAGGGGAGAGAGGGCAGGCATTATCCACCAACAGTGTTAGCAGCTCTGAGAACTTCGTGTCTGTGGCTTTCTGGCTGTAGTTTCTGCATTCAGTGCTACAGTGGTTAAGCAACTTGGAGCAAGTGGCCTCAGTGCAAGGTCTGTTTGCATTTGTTGGAGCCAGAGAACCTTCATAAAAGGGCTCCCAATGCAGCTAAGCCTGCTGATGCTAAACAAGGTATTGGAGGAGTAGTTCCTGTTTAAATTGCCTAGTGGAAAGCTAGATTTTTGAAAAGTCTCTGTGAAACGTTTCCTGATTTAAAAACCCTACTTGGTTGCTTCTGCTAACTGATCTAAACCATAACTGCTGCATTATGTCTCATCACAGCAAGCAGATTTAGAACATAGGCTGAGACTTCTCCACTGAGTTATGCAAAAAATGCTATTTAATTATTTACAGGCTGACATAAATGGTTCAGTTTTACATATTACATGATATACCAGCCCACAGACTGAAGGGTTGAAAGCAGCCTGCTTGGCACCACTTTTTAACTGAAATCCCTTGATGCTAGCTTTGTTTTGCATAGCACTTTGTAGTACTGTTAGTTGACTTGGCTACAGTTTCGCAAAGCATTTTTTTTTCCACTTGGTTCAACACTCAGTCGAATTTAATGGGACTGGAGCCAAACAAGTAATGTAAGCCAAGCGCCGACGTTTGTTTGGTGTGCAGTTCCTGACAAGAAATATATATAGGAATTGTCTCTTACTCCTCAAGGCTGTAACTTTGGCAGAGGGAATGCTTGAGTTAGCATGCCAAGTATTTAAAATCATAATCAGTCAGTGATGGAAACATATATTTATGGCTATAGTGAGTTGCATCAAAGCAAGAAACATTAGCGTTCTCTGTAGAAATAACAATGTCTGTTAATTCAGAAATGCCTACTTTTAAATCACACAAAGACCTTTCAAAGTTAAAAGGCTCTGAGAGCTTGTCTAGAACATCTAGCTTATTTCTCAGTAATATTCAAAATAGTGACCTACAGCTGCAGTTTTAGTCTTGGGTTACCGGATGCTGCATCATGCCATAATATACAAATGTGTATGTATGGTGTTTCAATGCATTTACAGTTCATCCAAGCATTTTGTTATCATGGACATGCAGTTAGATATTTGTGTGTGGTTTTTTTTTTTTTTTTTCAAATGCTTGATTTTTGCTCAGTTTCCTTTTGTCTTATCGATAACTTGTAGTTTTCTGGAGCTGCTGGACTATATGAGCTTTCTGTGGTTCCCCAGGGACTGCTGGATGCTGTGAGCCGTGACGGTGCAACAGTGCTACGTATCTGTGATACACAGAGGTTGTAGATGGTTGTCGAGAGCAGGTATGATGAGTCTGGGAGGATTCCTGCTCGAGCAGATTAGTTTCCTTTTAGCCATTCCTTGATGACTTCATAACTGCTACTTTGCAGCTAGAAAAAAACTAGTGCTATCATCAAATTAAAATAAATAAAGTTTATAAGCAACTGCTGTTTTAATAATTTTCTCCTGACTTGCATGGTGACTGGTCTCTCGCACAGCTGTCTGAAGCAGCACAGCTGGCACGTTGCTGGTGAGGTGGTGTGTCAGTAAAGACCAGTGCGACGCTCTGCAGAGCCCTGGCTGGGATCCTGAAGAGGAATAGAGCTGTGCTGTTGTGATGCTGCGGCCAAATTACCAGTGAGACAGGTCTGAATCATTTGGGTGTAGTGTGCGTGGATGTCCCTGGCCCAGACGACTACGTGTCGCAGGGGGCCACAAACCATGAGCTGGCTTCCAGCAGGACGCTGCCTGTGCCGGGCTGGGGGTGGGGGGTGTTTTGTTTTGTTTTCCTCATTGAAATTGTTGAATTTGGTCTGTGGGGTATAATTACTTGCTGCTGGTGTTTTTTGGTGGGCTGTGATCTGGTCAGGAAGTCTTTGGCCATCTATCTGAACGATAGTGGTGACAATGTGAAAATAGAACGGTGTAGGAGCCGAGAGCCTGGCCTGCTCCTTTCAGACTTTGCAGGAGCGCCCTGGCTTCCTCCTCCCAGACAGACTTTGACATTCAGTCATCTGTTACTCTATTTCCTACTTCTGTTTTAGTTGGTAGTATGGAAGTATTTAAATGCTTATCATTTGAATTAGAGCATTTTGAGTTATTAATTAAATTAGATTATTCTGAGTGGTCACAACCATATTTTCCACGCGCATATACATACAAAAGATAGGACAGGGTTTTTTAATAACTGTAACTTCACATAAAACTTGCATTACATAACTTTAATTTCTTAAAATTCCAGTGCAAACAAAAATAAAAAATAGTCTTTAACAGCTTAAACAAAAAGCTTAACCTGCTCCTTGTAATCCCCAAAACCTGGGGAGCTGGAAAAAGTTAATTACAGCGTGTCTAATGGTAGCTTACTGATGATATTTCAAAAAATGGGACAGTTGTGTTTTAATTGCAGCAGAATGTATTGGTCATTAAAATTAGACATTAATATAGGCATTAAAATATGTTGAGCTGGCTGCTGTGAAAAAATAATACTTCTGACCAAAAAAATAGATTCATAAGAGACTGGAGAATTGTTACTGAATGTCTGGTCACTTGACTTTGCATATGTAGAAGCCCCTAAACATTGTGGTGGCTAAATCTAGAGTCACAGCTCTGCTCATCTTCATGGCTTACGAGTTCTGCAATACATATGTGTAGTATTAAAATATTTATTTCTCAGATGATATTAGAAACAGGGCAGAACTATTTTGAACATAAGAATTCTTGGCATGACAGAGCTATATTAGAAAATATATTTGAATTTTTAAAAGCTCTTCCTTTCTTTTAGAAAGATTTGCAGGTGTTTTGTTTTATGCTGACGTTCAGTACTGAAAGACTGGCTCAGAGTTGAATGCATTTCTTTCTGCTAACATTCCTACTTTTACTTATGAGTTTCCACATTGATAGAAAGCCAAAGCAGTATAATCCTCCATAGTTTTGAATCTCTGATCTAGGATATTATATTTTATCCTGATAAAATGAAAACAGGTATCTTGTGCACAGACGTGAAACCTGTTAAGGAGCCTGATGGCTGTGATGATGGGGTCAGGGGAGATTTTTGAGAAGGGGTAGTGTAAATTTTTGCCAGATAATTTTTCAGAGTTAAGGTGTCTGTTCAGCTTCTTTTCTCCTGGTAACTTAAAAGATTGTGGCTAGGGAAAAGGGGATACAAATCTTTGTTTTTAACATAGTTGTTAGTTCACACCTGACTTTCAGCAAAAGAACAAATGCCTTAATGCAAAATTCTTCTTTTCAGTGAACAGAAGTGGATGAGCAAAGAACTTTGGACTGTTACAAAGGTGGTCAACTTTCCTGATGTTTTTGACATAGAGAAATTTTTGTGAGGCCAAGACATAAGATCGTAGCTGTCACAAGACACATACAGTAAGATGTCTGGGAGGGAGAGCTCCGAGAAATAGTTTGCCGACAGGAGGTGTCAGTGATGGGACTGGGATGGGTTAGATGCAAATTGTTCCTGCTATCTCCCCCAACCAAGGATTCAGATTGACTTGCATCCCTTATATTAGTCCTCTCTCTGCGGTTGTGTGATGCAGGTTAAGACCTGCATGATTAGGAGTAGGATGAGAAAAGTGGCAAAATGCTCGTCGTTGTTCAAAATAGTGCTGACTGGCCACTGCTGCCTCTAGCAACAAAGGCAAAATTGCAGGGAGACTGCCCATTAGAGATGCTGCCGTTGGGTGATAACCTCATCTAATAAGTATTTCTTTGTATTTAGCTTGGTTTTCAGAAGATGTTTTGTTTACCTGACTAATTTGAGCTATGTTGGGATCCAAATCTTCTCTCTCTGTGAAGAGATCAGGGCTCTATATGGTGGATACCTTAGGCATGTGGTAGCTGTGCCCTTCTGTGATACGCCATGGTGGGATTTGGCAGGCGGATATGAACTCGCTCAGCATGTGCTCTGTCAGCCGGATTTAAGTCAGCCCTGACATGGAAACTGTTAGTGCCACGCTGAGCTGAGGCTAATGAGCCCTGTGGAGAGGTTTGTCTTGTCCTGTGAAAGGTGGCATGGAGGTAATCATATGGTTATTGCATATAGAGGGCCCAACCTTTTCACTATGCGCCCTCCATACCAGGTCATTTGTGGGCATGAAAAAGAGTAAAAAAATAAAAATAAAAAAAATGCAGCAGCAATGCTCATTTCTAGTTCTGGGATCTTTTTTGTTTCCTTGATGCTTTCCAGAAGATATGGTAACTTTGGACTTTCAGCCTGGTTTAAAAAGAATTGTATGATTCAGCAGTAAGGAAAATCTTCTTGCCCAAGTAGTTGGTCCAGCCTGTGCTTGGTTCAAATCACTGGAGTTAGCCTTTCCCATTTTACAGAATTTCAAGAGTTAAGATTAGTTCATCTGAGTTAGTGATGGGGTACATGCTTTATACATGGACTTACTTGACTGAGTAAACTGGAAGGGTATATACACAGCAAAAATGCCAATAATTTTCAGTATAATATTGGTATAATTGAAGCATCTGAGACTGAATCAGTGCATTCCTACTGTTTAAGCTAATCTTAATTTAATCCTACTGCAAAGTCAGTAATACGTCCATTGATGTAAAACTTAAATGCTTAACTGCAAGATGAAGGAGCTGTGAAGGAAAAATCATTTGACATGTTTATTTTAGATTGTCTCCAAATAACTGGGGAGCTGCATATTTTGGTGGGGAAGCTGTTGTTTAAGATAGTCAAAGTTTTTTTAAAAATGTTCTCTTTCTCTTTCAGCTCCCAGTCCCACTACAGCTGTTCCTTACACGTCAATGAAGTGCATTGATGTAAGAAAAAACCACCACAAAACAAAGTGGCTAATGCCCTGGGGACCTAACCACTGTGAGAAGATCAAAGACTTTGACGAAGCAGTGAGCAGGCAGATAGAGGCCAATGATATCGTGTTTGCTGTTCACATTCCTCTTCCTAGCAAGGAGATGAGCCCCTGGTTCCAGTTCATGCTTTTCATCATGCAGCTGGACATTGCATTCAAGATGGACAACGACCTAAGTAAGTCACTTCATGTCACTTATTACATACTGACTGTGGTCTGTCTAATTTTCCCATGTCTGTATTTCTCTTAAAATTGCCTTTATTTAGCACCATATGTTCACTGTTAGTTGAAGTGTTGTATATACTGCAAGGTGATACAGGAGTACATTTTAAAGGTAGGAATATATAATAATACATCATAATACATACTCTTCCAGGAAGAGCCACTTGTGCTGCATTAGTAAGTAGCTAAGCATATGCTAAACAAGCAGCAGGAGGCTTGAACCAGCAACGTTGATTGTTCAAGATTCCATGTTAAAGTACCTTGAACTGCAGGAACTCGGCTTGCTTAAATGCAGCATTTGGCTTTCATAGCATATGCTCCTGGGTTTCATAAAAGTTTTTCAAAATATTTCAAAATGCTGAGCACATAATGCCTCTGAATGAACCCTTTCCACTGAAGGGGCCAAGGCCGTTTCTTTGCCCTCTGCTCCTGGGTGCATCGTTTCATCTCATGCCTGGTGCTGGCTCATACTTCTATGGCCATGTGGGAAGCTGAACCACAGAGCCTCCTCAGCAGAAAGTCAGTTTGGGCTGGATTAACTTTGACTGGTTAGCAAGTTGAATTGGTCACTGTACTGTATTAGGCAAGAACAAGTAACACCACTGAAGATACCCAGAGACAGCGAGGAGTGGGAGCATCCCCTTTTGGAGGCAGCACGCTGCTGGAGCAGCAGTATGCCTTCACCGTACTCTAGCTTGGGCTTCCTGGTTTGGGTGGAGGTGGTGAAAAGCAGTGTCATGAGATTATGATTTGTTAACATCTTTGCCCCAGAACTCCTTTATACAAACGCTTGAACTAGTTACTAGTTTACCCAGTGCTGAAAAATGTAAGTCATGTTATTTTGCTCCATGTTTGCCAAACGCTTTTAGGTGGTGAGCTCCTAAACTGCAAGCTGAAGTACTTAGTAAATGAAATTATTGATCCCCAAGCTTATTTGTGAGGAGCTTGTTCAAAAGAATGCTCACACCTGAGACAATTTTTACACGAATACACTCCATCAGATAACAGTTAGAGAAGAGACTGATGTTTAGTTACTGAGGCTTTGTCACCTTCTGAATAATTTTAATTCTTCTGCAATTTGAGTTTGTCCATTGGTGAACTGAAATAGTTGCCCTAACTTCCATCAGTTGTTATGAGATAATCTTTTGCTCAGATTTGATAAATGTGGGTGGAAACCACTGTAGTTTCAAGGCCAAAAGGTATTTGAAACTTTAAGGCAAAACTGTGTAGATACTGGAACCATAGAAGAAGTTGTCTTACTGGGATTCACCCTTAGTGAAACTTGGAAGAAGGTAAAATACGGAGAAGGGGGGGAATAAACCCTGCAAAAAAAAAAAAATCTACTAAACAATGTCAGACTAATTGGCCCCTTACCAAAAGAACAATTGTAGGTGTGATTGCATTTTTAAAAAAAGTTATGGAAAAATCCCTTTTTTGGAAAAATAAATTATTTTTGCATAGTTAGATTATAGTTCTTGATAGCTAGAGAAGCCCCAATTTAAACCAGCTACATAAAGCTCTTTCTCTGGCAGCACCCTGTCTCCCTTTTCTTGGGCCTGGGACTAGTGTCTTGCAGTGTCTTGGTTCAGGGAGCAAAGGTGTTTTGAAAAGTAGCTGCTGCTTTGGGGCTCTGGACTAGTTCCCTAGACTGAGTGATCATACAAGCAGTAGTGCTGTTGCATGGGAGGGAGGTGGGTGTGTGCACTGTGGGGGCTGTAGCAAGGTCAGCTTAGATCTATTTAAGTTTTCAAGAAATCACAATTCTTTTGCCTTATCTGATCAGTGTGGGCCTGTTCTTTACCAGCTATGTAATACAACATCATTAAGAAAGTTAAAAATGGGATTTTGTTTTTTAGTAGATAGAATTTGCATATATATTTTTATCTCCATAATTACTTATAAAATATGGAGGGAATTATACTTCATAGCTTTATTAGGGTCTCAGCTTCTTAAACTTTAAAAGATTGTGTTTAGAAAAATAATTCTTCTTTCTGATGCTTTTGAAATCAAACCAGAGCTGGAATAAGTCACTTGGAACCAGTCTGTTAAAATACTAAGCAAGCTTTTGACAGTACTTTCTCCTGTAAGTGCAGAGAGAACCTTCTCCTCATTATTTGTGCAGTTCAATGACCAATTCCTTCAAAGTCTGGATTTCTTTTTGAGATTTAAAAGCAGGAAGAAATTGCCTTTTGCCACCCTCTGGTTAATAAAAAACCAAAGTATTTGGAGATGAGATATACTGCTTCTGTAGTTTTGAAAGATTTTGTTTCTGGTCATTATCAGTTCATTAGCTACTGGCGTTCTTTGCTTGTGAGAAGTGTTTTGAGACGAGGCATATTGATATTTCTCATTGTGTAAGCTTATTTGGCACATCTGGAAGGTTTTTTTTTTTTTTTCATTGACTGCAAAAAGCTTTAAACTGCTGTTTTCCTACACTTTGTGCCAAACTGAAGTTAGATGTAAATTAAGTGTAAAAGCTATCTAAGAAACGAGTGAATAACACATTTCTTGCTTGCTGGATTGTGTTAAAACAGATAATAAAACAAAGTTAACCAAAAAAATTGCTAACCCAAAATTATTAACTACTTGTATTTTTCTGATAACTTTGCAGAGGTTTAAAAGCTTTACTTATCAGACAATTGAAATCAACTTTTCAAAATCGGTAACATTAAAAATGTGAAAAACTTATTTCTGTTTTCTGAATTGACAATTTAAGTTTATTCTCTCTTAAGGCTTAATTTAAGACCTCGGCCATGTCAGTTACCCTGCTGTAGTTAATGCCAATAGGGGTTAGTGCCAAACCAGCAAAGAGTTCTGGAAGGCTTCACAGTTGTTAAATACATTGTCAGTCACCATTATAATAACCGTTCTGAAGTTGTCTCAGATCATCTAGGAAAGCAGCACTATGTAGTAACTGGCAATGTTTTTATCCGAGTGAAGAAACTAACTGCCTTTATTTGCCTGAGGAAACATCTCTGCCCTCAGCGGCTGCTGAAACCATGTAGAAGTGATCAGAAGACGTGAAAGGACAAGGTAGCCATTCATCAGCTTTGAACTCGGGAGGATTCTTGTATGTTCTTGGGGTCTCCGTGGCGGGAAGGAGGCTGCCATGGTGAAACGGTCGAGTGACTCAGGCGCTTGACGCAGGCGCTTCCTCTCGCTGCTTTCAGTTCTAAAGTTTGTCTCTTTGGCCACAGGGCAAGGCTAATGGGAGGCTAAGTCACAGCTGTACCACAGTTTAATTAGTACTGCTCTGCTTGCTTATGATGCATCGCTGGGTGCACAGAAAGCCAAAAATCAGGCATGTGTGTCAGCCCTTTGACTGCAGGACTTGGTCATCAAGTGAGCAAGGATTTTTCTGTGGCAGAAGGAAATGTTAGACCTGGTGAAGCACCCCCGATGGAATCGGACAGCAGTCCATCAGCCTCCACGGTGACTGGCTCTGGACCGCCTGAACCATGCCATGAGAAGCGCTGCGTGGTATTTATACCCTTCCAAAGGGAAACAGGACATGAGTGTTTTCACTTCTAGAAAGCTATGCTGGTCTCCAAAAACTCAGCTATTACAAGCTGTTATGTTTATCCCTTATCTTTATCTCTCATAGAAGGCCACAATACATTCGGACACTATTTCTCTGAGGAAAAAACAGTTTTTGTGTCTAAGCTGTCTTTGTCCTTTATTAATGCATTGTGCATTCAATTACTGAAAACAGATGCTTTCCAGAACAGGGAAAGAAGGTGGAAAGAGAAACTGGATGAAGTTGTAAAACTTTCTGTACCTCAGTAATGAAAGCTCCAGTCACAATTTTGCACAATTTGTGAGGAAAGTAACATCTGCAAGCAGGACCCTGCTCTTGCCTTGGTGCAAAATGTCTCATTCACACGGACTGTATGAAACAAATGCTCTGTATGAACAACATTGGCCACTCTCCAGCAATAACACAGCTGTTGAAAGAGCTTAGTCACCAGGGCGATGGATGCAGCTTGGTGAGGGAATGTTTGTGTGCAGTAATCTGACATTTAGCTGGCTGGCAGCAACCTTGGAAGTGAAGTAGAATTAGTGGAGGAGCAGTGGCGATAATCTGGTTTCTGACCATAAGAAATCTCTTGTGTAGAGCTAGCACAAAAGGCTTCTTTTGAAACTTTAAGTGTTACTCTGTTACTGTGCAATTAGATCTTATTTCTGTCATTGAATTTGAGGAACACTGGGCACTTTTAGAGAAGGGATAAAGGCCATTTAGCTCATCAAAGCCCATTCTCCGAAATAGCACCTGTCCTCAAAGTACTGTCCCTCATTTAATACAGTACATGCTTGGCCAAACTGTCTCTATTAATTGCATGCTTCCTGTCTTTCTTTCCCGTGTTTGCTGCTTCTTGGAGCAAAGCAGCAATATTGCTGTCCGCAGGCAGTATTCCTGGTCATGCAGGCTTTTAGGAATTGCTTAAATTCCCTTTCATTTGCAGGTTGCATTAATCTATTTGTTTTTATCACTTTAGATTTCCTTCTTTGCCTCAGTTGTTATTTGTTGGCACTGTTCATGCACAAAATGCTTCATAGATGGGTGGGATACTGGGCAGTAGGATTGGAAGCTGTGGGATTTTCTTTGTGTGGGTGGGTTCCACCCCCCGCCGTCCTGCCATGGGTCTAGGCCCTTTGCATTTGGCAAGCTTCAGTGTTTATAACAGGGAACGTTAGTCCTTGCCAAGCTGCTTCACAGTATAACCTTTTATGTGCCAAGAACTAATTCATTTGTATTCATTCGTAGTTAGAACAGGGGATCCGGAGTCTGCTCGATCGCTGACTGTCACAGACTCGCACCAGTCCACAAAGTCGATCTCTTGACCTTCCTCCTGGAGTTTCGCCTTGTAGAAGAATTAAAAGAAATCGCTTAACACTGATTTGACATCTATGAATGAAATGTCCCTTACAAGTACAATATGACAGTTGCTCTGTA